GTGCCATAAACCGTATGGCTGAAACCTGCGGGCAAAGCCGCACCAGCTGACGGAGTGGTACTGGGGGCAAAATTTTTCTTTATCGCTGTTTACCCTTTTCAACCGCTTTGAAACGCTTGGTTAATGTTCTTTACCATGCAGCATCCTAGCTAACCGCTTTCTTGTGAATGTGCTTGTACCGTCGGTGATAAGACCATTTCAAACGTGGTGACGTTCTACAACCTGTGTATGTTCTGCAACCAGATGCTCTGCTAGCGCGAAACAGGGTGTATTTTAGAGGGGGGGTTACGGCGTGTGCAAAGTGCTGCATGTAGCTCGATGTCGAGCTACGTCGAGGTTGATGGGCAAGGTAGGTGAGCTGAGGGGTGCCATTTCTGTGTTCAAAGTACGCTTCAAAAATTGCTGACGCCAGCATCGCCATTTGTACGGAAATGTGCAATGATGATGGACACAGAAACGGTCAACCAAAGATAACTTGAGCGAATCTTTACAGTGTTTGCCAGACCACGTTAGACAAATTCACAGACTGGCATAAACTGTAATCTCGAACATTGCGAACATTTTCCATTTCGTGATGAGATGTTCGCAGCCAAAAGACGCTCTCGAAAAAACATTTGCGATTTCAGGTTTTGGTCCCAATTCAATTCTTCGACAATCTCAATTCAATTGTAACTATTAAGGCCGGCATTTGTCCTGAGCGAACAGTTCGTCGCCGGCAATGTGCTCAAAGTGTGCCATTCGACGTCTATCGACGTCAGAGGCTCCAAGTCACTCGACGTCGATCTTTAACGTCATGACTGCGTCCAAACTACGTCGAAATACTTCGCACACGCCATTAGCAGATACGAGCTCTACTTGAGGAGTCGTTCGAGAGAAAGTTCCAACAATTCAATCCCTTGAACGATTCATCCACACGCGCCACATTTTCGAATACAATTCGCGAGAAGAAGAATAACCCCAATTGCGATTGCATCATCCTGTGGTGGAGGTCGTCCACTTCTGTAGCACATTCCTGCACCATGTCAAGCAGGCTACCAACTACACTCTACAAATCTTCACGTAAATTTGGAAAAATTGCCTGAAAAAGCTCCAGTAAATTAGCTCCAGATACTCTGCTCTAAGCTTACTCGAAATGAATTACGTAAACCAAGTTCCAATGCTAACACATCCAGCTGGCACACCCACCATATTCCTTGGAATAATCTGATCCATGAATCGGAGCTTGGCCTGGAATCGGGCTCCAATGCGGGAGTGCAAGTTTAGGATGTCTTTATAGGATATGCACTTGTTCACTGCAGCATTTGGTACAAGTTTATCCTCAACGAGTTGGGTCTCAGCTTTGCTTCCCTCGCGGTCACAATATCCACATGTATATCCTGTCCTCAATGAAGGTTTCGCAGAAGATTAGGCAGGGTGCAAGGCCTAAAAAACACGAGCAGTCGACCTAACAAATTCCACTAGACTACACTCAGCTACGAAGCAACCGGTGATAAAATTCAATCGCCGCGGGTTTTCTGCCGCAAATCCAGCGGATCGTCAATTTTCGCCCTCACTCTCGCTTTCACTTTCCCAAAGAAAAAGGGCATAGCTCGCGAGAGCATCTGAGTTGTCGGGTGATTCGCTCAACGCCTTCTGAAACAGATCCTCCGCCTGAGTCTTATTATGGAGCCGTTGCCACGAGAACTGCGCGAAGCTCGTCAAAAGCCGCACGTCGTAAGGCGATCTTCGCATGGCGTCACGGAAGTATTTCTCCGCAGTAACTGTCTCTACCCACACCTCGTTCACAAATTCCGCAAACTCCGTTGGAAAGCTCGGCCGTCCTTTGCTGCTCGCAGCATTCTTCTCCAGACGTTGTCGAAACGCAACCGCCCTGCCCTCGATCTCCGCGCCATCTATAGCCGAGCAAGGACCCGCCGAAGCATGGCCATCCCTGCAGATTCTACCGGAATCGGTCGCCTCTGGCGACCACGGCTGTCTGAAGACGGGTCTGCACCCTCGGCTGTTGCACTCAACGAGACCCACTGACGCCTCTGCTAGGAAGAACGGCTCGTTCCACGCCATGCTGACATCGTTTTTCTCGAGTATGCTCATTGGAGAGCACGGTGAGTCGACAGCAAAGCGCGCGGCTTGAGAAGATCTTGGGCGCTCAGTAAAGGGCTCGGGTTCAAGAAACTTGGAAGACGTCGCAGCGGGTGTAGCGGTGGATGGGTAATGGTGTTTTTGGGAGCATCCCCAGCCGAGATGGCTCACCGGGGTTTTAGCAGATGCATTCACGGCGTCGCTGCAGGGAGATTTGCTGCTCGAGACCCGACATTGCCGTGACGACGACAGGGGGAAGGTGATAGGTGAGCGGATCTGAAGACCGATGGCTTTGGCGGACGCGCCCTCCATAGTCAATACTCAGGATGAATGTGGGCAGAAGGATGAGAAGAATCATGCACTGATGTGAGTCTTCCTGTGGCCTACTTGTGCTTCTTAGGAGGAAAGACAGAGACTTATGATGCCCAGTTGAAGCACACGGTCGGGAGAATGCCGGTGTCTAGTATCGATGGAGGACCATCATGAGCAGAGGAGACTGAAGGTTAGGTTTACAGTAGGACGAGACGAGACAGACTGCTGGAGCAGTAACAATGGGCTGTCTAATTCCAACAAATACACCCTGTTTCTCGACCCTCTCACCTTGCGCGATTCGCTGCTACAGTGCGGTCAGGTGCCATAAACCGTATGGCTGAAACCTGCGGGCAAAGCCGCACCAGCTGACGGAGTGGTACTGGGGGCAAAATTTTTCTTTATCGCTGTATACCCTTTTCAACCGCTTTGAAACGCTTGGTTAATGTTCTTTACCATGCAGCATCCTAGCTAACCGCTTTCTTGTGAATGTGCTTGTACCGTCGGTGATAAGACCATTTCAAACGTGGTGACGTTCTACAACCTGTGTATGTTCTGCAACCAGATGCTCTGCTAGCGCGAAACAGGGTGTATCACAACAGACAGCAACAAGAACGAGGGAGAAGAAACGTACAATTTCTTGCAAGCACGCTGGACTGGCAGTCTGGCAGCCTAGCACAGCAAGCCCAATCACGGCAATAAGCTGTTGATGGACGGACAGTCTGTTCTGCTGTGGCATCATTTCTACATCGCGCTGGCAGATCTCGAGTTTCCCGCCTCTTCTCCACCGTGGCCTTCCCGGGAACCCCTCGATCTTACCACTAGCATTGCTGACGTGGGACGCAGCCCGCCAGTGGGACGATTTGGACCACAGTCCTGGGAGGTGTTTAGGGGATACTTTGGTTGAAGGGAGTGCCAGCCATGCCCAGCATTGCAGGAGTGCGACCAAGTGGCCGCGCAAGTGTGAGGAGCTACGAGAACCACAAAGTTTTCCGCCAACGGAGTACGGAGCAGCTTGCGACGAATAGAATTGGCCCTAACGGCAAGGTTGTGGGAGAAAACATCCCGGGAAACCTGTGAGCAACCGCATAACTGCGGGCAGGCAGCTGTAAACACGTGGTGTCGAGCATGCTGCTGACATCACCATATTGTGGTGATGGGAGTGGATAAACTTTTTACTGCACTTTTGTCGATGGCTGTGGTGTACACTCGATAGCAAGGTCACTTTCATCGCGAAATGCCACTAGATGTGACACAATAACCCCAGATTTCACGAGAAGAAGTGGTGTGATGTGATAGCAACTAAACGTTTACGGTCAAAATTGCCTTAACGCTTTTTCCTGAACAGTTGCAGATATTCTTATGATTGTTTTCACGTGTTTTCTGACAAGAACGAGTGTATCTACTCGAGGCCAGCGACTGGCAGCTCATGGTTGCACTTACTTCTGCCTTGACATAGGCACCCAGTGCGTTAGCTTTACACTAGTTACAGATGTCCATAATCACAACTTCTCTTACAACGTAATGCGCAAACGAAATTATAAGTGGACCTTAAAGGCATCTAAATGCCATTCATATGCATATTCAAAGTAGGCACTGTTGGGAGGTAAGCGGAGCATTCAGAATATCATATTCCACATCCAGGAATTTGGGTCGCAACAATGGCCAGCTCTGGTGGCTTCTTTCTGCCTTGGCTTGCTTACCCGAGATCCTACGTGACCACTAGAAGGTTGTTTTCATGGCCGCTTGGTGTGTAAACGATGGCCCTGCGTGGATCAACCTTCCAATTTCCATCCACGATAAATTTGACCTGCGGTAGTAAAGGGACACAATTTTAAACAAGACCGTCACAATACAGGTGCATATATGCACATAGCAAGGCAACACTGGAGCTATGAGGCTTCCGAATATTTTTTGTTTTTATTTTTTCGTGCAACTACATGAGGTATGCATGGTTCAATCCGTAATCCATTGCTCATGAATTGTTAAGGTTTTGGGAAAGGCGAGCTAGCATGCCTCCTATGCAATGGTGTAGCACGAGGTTAGTACCGCAAGGGCCGTAAAAGAGTTGGGTGACAATAATGTGCGTACCTCATACTGTCCAGGGTACAGATGAAGAGTTGTTACGAACACCCCCGCATTTGACTTGACCATCTTGATCTGCCATCCAGATTAAAATAAAAAATTTGCCGCAAGTGAAAACACTTCTGAGAAACGAGGAGAAAAACAGCACTGACGACATGGACTAACAACCACCCATACGAACATGCCCAGAGTGCATATCGGTACCCCCCCCCCCCCCCCAAATTTCCAGAACGCGTTGATTGAATCATGGCGGCACGGAAAAGGGCAAAGGTTGTTCGTACCCCGTCGGTCCATGCATACCCGGTTGGTCCAGCCATTAGAGGAGCCAGTGAGAAGCACTTCATTGCCGGGGTTGGGCCACACCACTCGTGTGGGCCATGCATACCCGGTTGGTCCAGCCATTAGAGGAGCCAGTGAGAAGCACTTCATTGCCGGGGTTGGGCCACACCACTCGTGTGGACCATCCATACCCGGTTGACCCATCCATACCCGGTTGACCCATTTCATGCATACCTGGTTGACCCATTTCATGCATACCTGGTTGACCCATCCCATGCATACCGGGTTGACCCATCCATACCCGGTTGACCCATCCCATGCATACCTGGTTGATCCATCCATACCCAGTTGACCCATCCCATGCATACCCGGTTGGTCCATCCATTGAAGGAACCGGTGAGCAGCACTTCATTCCCGGGGTTGGGCCACACTACCCGAGTGGGCCTCAGCTGCACGTATGCCACCTGCAGCTCCCCCAGCTGCTGATCCTTCTCCTCCAACACGCGCCTCGTCTCCCTGCCAAGGAAAGATTGGGAGGGAACAGAGGTGGCAGAACACGGGAGGGAAGGGAGGGGAAGTTGTTGGGCCACACCACTCGAGTGGGCGTCAGCTGCACATGCACCACCTGCAGCTCCCCCAGCTGCTGATCCTTCTCCTCCAACACGCACCTTGTCTCCCTGAAACGAGGTCAGCATAGGGAGGAAAAGGAAAGGGAGGGCGTTTGGGACCACAGTACAATCAGAGTGCTATCCCGCCCTCCCTTTCCTTTCCTTTCCTTTCCTTTCCATTCCCGCAGGCAGTGCATCCAAGTGCATCCTCAGCAGCTCATCTCTCCACTCCCGCACCCTTGACCTCTGCTCCCCCCTTTCCCTCACACCCCACCTCCACACCCACACGCACCTGAATCCCCCTCCACCTATCCCATTCTTCCCCTCACCTGAACTCCGCAGCGAATATGCCTTCGAGAGCAGACACCTCGGCGCGCATGGACCACAGCTCTGCTCGCGTGTGCACCATCTCACTCTCCATCTCAGCCCCCTTCAATCATTGGGACCCTCACACCCATCGCCCCAACACCCACCTGAATTCGGCAGCGAATCTGCCTTCCAGCGCAGAGACCTCGGCACGTGTGGAGCGCAGCTCGGCTCGCGTGCGCAGCATCTCACTCTCTCGGAACTCTAGTGAGTCTGTCAGCCGCAGCAGCTCGCCCATTGTGCGACTGCGCATCTGATCATGTTTTACGGGGGGGAGGCGCAGTGGTGTGGTGTGGTGGGGAAGGATAGAGCAGGGAAGGGAGTGGGTGGGAAGGTTGAGGCTAGGTGGAAAGAGCAGCACCTCACTCTCTCTGAACTCCAGTGAGTCTGTCAGCCGCAGCAGCTCGCCCAATGTGCGACTGAGCATCTGATCACATGGTGTGGAGTGGTGGAGAGAGGTGGGGGGAGAGGTAGAAGAACGAAGGAGAGCAGAAGCATCACGAAATTGTGTATGCTGAGAGGATGTGTGGGAGTTTTGAGACGTCTCAAGACTCATCACGAAATCGTATATGCTGCTGAGGATGTGTGGGTGGTGAGAGCAGAAGCAAAACAATCACAGCATGTTCTCGCTCTGATAAACATCAACCAACTGATCACTTACATCGTCCACCTCAGCACTGACCTGTTCCAGCTCAGCATCTCGCCGACTCAGCGCCTCCCTCCCCTGCCTCAGCGCCGCACGCGTGGCAGCCAGCGATTGCTCGAGAGATCGGATGCGCCCCGTCACGCCTGCCAGCTCATCCGGGTCGCGCCTGAGGAAGGCAGCAGCTGGGGGAGGCTCAACTGGCGAAGCAGGGGGAGGTGGTAACCGGAACTTGCGCACTGGAGGTGAGGAAGGTTCCTTGCTCTGTGGTCTGTTTTCTGATGGCCGTTGCGAGTCTGTTGGTGAACGCCCTGTCTTGTCTGCATCTGCCGCTGCTGCTGCTGCTGGAGGGGGTGGTGCTGTTGCCTCACGTGCTGCGTCTTCTTCTGCTGCCGCCCCCGCTGTGGTTCCTGGCACCTCTACAGCAGAAGAGGCGGAGCCGCGAGCTGAGGAGGAAGCGGATGGGGATGGGGGGAACGCACCCACAAGCCGTGACAGCACGGCTGCAGCTGAAGCAGACGCATCCTCATCATCAGTACCAACCCCTGGAAGATCAACAGCAGCAGACCCACCGCCAAGAGCATCAGTACCCACACTAGCAGCAGCGCCAGTCCCAGTGAAAGAATCAGCAGTGGGTGCATTAGCCCCATCAGCACCCATCCCTGCACTGCCTCTCCTCCCCACCTCACCCTCGCTCCCTTTCCTTCCCACCCTCCGCCTCCTCTTCCTCACGCCAGGTCCATCTGGGGAAGGTGCCACCTCGTCTTGAGCACCAACTGCTATCTGGGGAAGAGGTGGGGGAGGTGTTATCTGGGATTGAGGAGAAGAAGGCGCTATCTCAGCTTGGGGAGAGGGAGGCGTTATCTGGTCCTGTGAGGGCTCTTGAGCTGCACCACTCCCCGCAGCTGTCCCTACAGCTGTCCCTGAAGCAATCCCTGCAGCTGTGCCTGCCCCTGCACCAGTCCCTGCACCAGTCCCTGCAACAGCAGCTATGCTGCCAGCACCAGCCTCCAACCCCTCCAGCCTCTTTCTGAACGCCATCAGATTCGCCAGGCTGGCACTCAGTGCTGCATCAAAGCCGTCCAAATTCCCCACACTCCCCTCGATCACCCTCGCTCCCCCCACCCTCCCCTCTCCCACACTCCCCTCCCCCACTCTCCCTTCCAACACAATCCCTACCCCCACACCCCCATCACCCACTCTCCTCCTCTTCTCCTCCTCCTCTGCCTCCTCTCTGCTCCCCTTCTCCCCCTCATCCTTCCCCGTGGCCCCCTCAACGCCCCCTCCTCCAATGCTTAGCCCCACACCAGGCTCCTGTACTGCTCCCCTCCCTGCCTCCTCTGCTCGCCCCTGGTTTGCTGGAGGGTTCTTTCTAGGGCGACCAACTGGCCTCCGCGGCTGCAGGGGGGCGGAGAGCGAAAGGAGGGGGAAAGGAGGGATGGAGGGAAAGACAATTTTAATCCGGCTGAGAGGCCTCCCCTGCTCGTCCCTGGTTTGCCAAGCGGTTCTTCCTTGACGAAAATAGACCTTCCAAACCTAAAGTGCGCGCCCACAGGCTTCAGCGGCTAAGTCGACTCGGAAACGTCCTCTGCTCGCCCCTGGTTCGCTGGGGGGGGAAAGGTCCATGGCCGCCCCACTGGTCTCCATGGCTGCAGAGAGGAGGAGGTGGGGGGAGGGAGAGATGATTCTTCAGTCAACTAAAAAAACTTTCTCTCCTAGGCTACCTCCGTATCGTATAATATCATATCATGTCATGTCATGTCATGTCATGTCATGTCATGTCATGTCATGTCATGTCATGTCATGTCATGTCATATCATATCACACCACCCACAAGCCAAGCACCCACCTTAACGGGACTGCTCATAACCACTGACTCCTCCGGTACAGCTCCTGCCACACCGCCCCCCTCACTACCAACCTCGCCCTCACCCCCCTTTCACGCCCACCCTCGCCCTCACCCTTACGACCTTTGAGTGGACACAAAGGCAAGGCACCCACCTTAACAGGACTGCTCATAACCACTGACTCCTCCGGTACAGCTCCTGCCACACCGCCCCCCTCACTACCACCCTCGCCCTCATCCGCTCCCCCTCCCTTCCCCTCCGCCCCCCCTGCTGCCCGCCCCCTCCTCCGCCTGCCCAGCCCCATCAGCCTCGCCACCGCACTCCACCCCATGCCCCTCCCCACCGCATCCCCACCTCCCCCTTTTCCCCCTCCTGCGCCCTGTGTTGCTCTCTGCCCTGCTGCTGGTACTGCCTCACCCCTCCCTCCTCCGCCCACTCTCCCCATGCCCCCCATCCCCTCAATCCCCTGCATTTCCAGCCCAGGCCCCATCCCCATAACCGCCGTCTCCTCCGCCCCCTTCCGCCACCATTGCACCCCCTCCTCTCCCTCCTTTGCACGCCCCTCCCCGTCCCGCCATGCCCCTCCCCCCGCCTGCTCCCTCGCCAGTTGCCTGAGTGCGGCTGCCAGGTCCCCCCGCCCCGCTTGTCTCAGCTGCTCCTGTGTCGGCATGATGCCTGCCTGCCCCGCTGCCGCTGAGAACGCCTGCAGCTGCTGCCGCAGTGCAGCAGGGCTGGGATGGGCCAGAGGAAAGAGGGGAACAGGGGACATGTGAAGGAGGACGGGGAACGGGGAAAGGGGGAATGAGGAATGGGAAGAGGAAAACGGGAAAGGGGAAGGGGGAAGGGGGAATGCACACACGCATGCACTCAGGCATGACTCAGGCATGCAATCAAACACGCACTCAAGACATGCACACACGCATGGACACACGCATGCACACACGCATGCACACACGCATGCACATACGCATGCACACACGCATGCACACACGCATGCACACACGCATGCACACACGCATGCACACACGCATGCACACACGCATGCACACACGCATGCACACACGCATGCACACACGCATGCGCACACGCATGCACACACGCATAAACACACGCATAAACATATGCACACACACGCATAAACACACATATAAACACACGCATAAACACACGCATAAACACACGCATAAACACACGCATAAACACACGCATAAACACACGCATGCACGCACACACACGTACTCGAGAGGAAGAGTCTCCTCCTCCACTTTCCTCCTCTTCCCACTCGGCCGCCTTCTCCTCCTCCTCTTCCGCTTCTCCCCCTCCTCTCCACCACTCCCATACCCCCTCCTCCCACCCCCCCTCCGCGCCCTGCTTGCCCCCCGGTCACTAGCACCCTTCTCCCTCCCACCCCTCCCCTCCCCTTCCTCGCCTCCACTACCCTCACCATCACTCACACCCTCACTCTCGCTCCCACTCTCCTCCCCGCCCCGCACCCTGTCCTGCTGCCTGCTCCCATCGCCCCCACGCTTGCTCCCCTGAACCCCGTACCCCCTCTCCTGCCCCCCACGCGCACTGCTTGGCACGCTTGCACCAGGGTCAACGGGAGAGCCAGCAGCGGCATAACCCAGAGCCCCTGCACCGGAACTGCCCAGAGGCCTTGCACCGGAATTGCCCAGAGGGCTTGCAACGGAGATTGTTGGCGCTCTTGCAGTGGGATCGCCTATAGAGGTAGAGCTTGAGGTGGGATCACTGAGAGACGTAGAGGTAGGGGTAGGTGGAGAGGAAGAGGTAGAGGAAGGGGAAGAGGAAGGAGTGGAGGTAGCGGTAGCGGCGGGGTTCCACTGGATGGCGGGCAGTCCCAGCTGCTGGAAGAGCGCGGACAGGCGCATCTGCGCGCCCTGCACCACACTTGAAGACACCTTCCCCTCGCCGTCCGACCCTGAGGTGCTCGTTCCCCCGCTTTCAGACGCGCTCCCCTCTCCGCTTGTAAACGCCCTCGCTTCCCCATCTGAGCCTGACCCTGTGCCTGACGCTGAGGGCAAGCCTGACGCTGGGCCTGACGCTAAGCCTCCTTCCCTCTGTGCGGTGGAACCTCTGCCCTCGTCTGAACCGGAATCATCCTCTGATGACGACGAGAATTCCTCCCACTCGCTGCTGCTTCCCCCCTCCCCCTCTGACCAGCCCTCCCCAGCTGACAATACTTCTTCCTCCTCTGACGAAGAGGACGCGTCCTCGTGAGAAGCCTCGAGCGCCCAGGATAGAGGCTCTGGAAACGAATTACGCGAGGAGAAGGGAGGGGCAGCGGCGGGGGTGAACCTGTACGAAGGACCCAAGGCAGAGGGACGGGGAGGGGGAGCGGCAGGCGGTGGAGCAGAGGCGGGAGCAGGAGCAGGAACACGGGCAGGAGCAGAAGCAGGAACACGGGCAGAAGGAGGAGCAGGAGCAGGAACACGAGCAGAAGGAGGAGCAGGAGCAGGAGCACAGGCAGATGGATAAAATTGGGATGTGGGCTGTGGGGGCGTGTCAAGCCCCGGCATCACATCCGCTCGCCAGTTCGCTGCTCCTGCCCCTGCCCCGCTCCTTCCCCCACTCGTTCCCCCACTCGTCGCCCCACTCGTTGCTCCTTGCATCACGCTACCTGCGCTTCTCCCGTCCGGCCTCCCCACGCCTCCCCCTGACACTGACCCCATTCCTCCTCCAACCCCTCTTGGCGTGGCACCCTCTTCCCCGCTTCCCCCTTCTGCCCAACCCTTCCCTCTACTATCAGCTCTTGGGGAAGGGCGGCGCGGAGAGGGCGGGGGGATGGGCGGGGAGGGTGGGGAGAGCATGGCGGACCAAAACCCTGACTCCGAGTCCACTCCGTCATCCACCGTTTCCACCTGCCGTTGACTCCGTTGACCCGAGCTACTCAGTTGACTTGCAGCCCGTTGACCCGGTTGACCCTCCCTGCCATTCCCACGTCTTCCACTAGCCTCTGTTATCCCCCATCCACTTGCATTTTCTCCCGCATTCCCCTTCCCTGTATTCCCCTTCTGCGCATCCCCCTTTACCCCATCCCCGGTCCCCGCATCCGCCGTCCCCGCGTCCCCCACGTCCCAGCCGGCGCTGAGCCAACCGCCGTCCGCCAGGCACGCCGCCACGAGGTCGTGCCGGCCGGCGGCGAGCAGCTCGCGGCGCGTGGGGAAGCGGTCCGGGTGACCGTTGGCCACCATAAACTGGAAGATCGCCACCTCCAGCTCCACGCCGGCCCCCCATGCCGCGCCGCCTCCTACGCCGCCTCCCACGCCGCCTTCCATGCTGCCTTCCACTCTGCCTCTGCCACTAATGCCGCCGCTGGTGCCACTGTTGCTGCTGCTGCCACTGGTTCTGCTGATGTTGTTGCCATTGCTGCCACTGCTGCTGCTGCTGCCACTGCTGTAGCCATTTGTCGAGCCTGAGGCAGCTGGTCTCAAACCATACCCGTTACTAGAGCTTCCGCTAAACCCAACAATACCGGAGCTGTTCCTACCATTACTGCTGTAGTCGCCTGTTCCCCCGACCGCACTGCCCACCAGCCCGCTTCTCCTTTGTCCAGGGGAACCCACACCTTGTAACGCGTACGGTGCTTTTCTCTTACTTGGAAAACAGAAGGAGCTAGCCTGAAAAACGTCCCTTTGCCGAACGCCTCTTCTCCGTTCCAACCGCGCAATCCCCGAATTCTGCGTCACAAGGTGCCTCGTTTCAAAAGCAAGCTGCCGTCCCTTCCAGTGGCGACACGCTCGCGACTCACAACCAGAAATACGCGAACATCGGGATTCATCGCGAGAGGAAAGACCTATCAGCAAGCCGTTCAACGACCTGCCTGAAAAGATAGGCCGTTGCACTGATCCCAAAACAAAAGCCCGCGGGTAATTCGCAATACCAGCAGGCTGGAGGAACGCCGGACGAGCTTGCGACCAATGGGGAGTTCGACCCGCCACCCGGACAGTACTATGTGACCGACACGTGGCAGCTGCTGGAGTATGCCAGCTGGCTCCTCTTGCTAAGTCCATGGGGCCTCCCGAATCTCGAGGCCCCAACTGTCTGATGCGAGCTAATCCGCGCGATTTCGGTGGACATGCATATGTCGCTAATCCGAGCAATCTATGTGACACGTATGACAGAAGGCACTACTACTATGCAGCTGTCGTAAGCAAGGGAGACACGACGTACGTGTGACGGGGTTGTGAAACGCATGACATGTATGATGCAGCTTGACCTCGCTGCATGATTAAAATCGCTCGCTCCACTCTGCAGGGGGCTGCATTCTCCACATAACCCTCCTCTCGAGCGGTCATTGAGAATTTTTAACGGTCATGGGAAATTCTTTGAAGTCTCTCGCAAGGACTCCAGTTCGGTACGTCGATGTGAGATTCTTCACTGGGAGTGAGATTCCGTACTGTCAGTCAGAATGCTGTCCATAGTACCCATTGAAAAAACTCGATACGAGCATAACCTAGAAACCATCCCCCTACACCCGTCAATAAGCTTCCGTTAGAGATCGTTTCAGCGATTTGTTTACGAACTTCTTTGGGGAGCCTGAAGGCCCTAAACGTGCGACGATAATCCGCTTGACCTCTCGCTAGACCGAAACGCAACTGGAAGCGAGCTTCCGCACTCTAGACTCGAACTTCTGCGAGTACCGCTAAGGTAAGACACCCGCGATCTGACATGCTCCAGGTATGAAGCAGACAGAGTGGCACTGAGCTTCCGATGCTCCGGTATGATGCTAATTGAGTCTCCGAAATGGAGCTTTCGAAATGGAGCACGTACTAAGCAAGGAGCCACGGGAAGTGAACGACGGAAGCCTGCTCCATTCAGGCAAGTCGGATGCTCTCTGCCTTACCACGCTAGTCCAACAGGACCTGAGAATTTATGATCTCAGGATTCTACCAGAGGGTGTTTGCAGGAGGAGATTCTGCAGCACAGAAGCTGGCGGGAAAACTTAGGCGCGTCCCAGAAGCTATATTTTCCTGATTGCCTAGCCAACCGACCTGGGTAGCATAATGACCGCGCTCACACGCGAATTACCATATTAGACCGTATTCAAACAAACTCATGCTCCTCCTGCAATGCAGTGATCGGTGGGCCCCAACCCCAAGGAGTGATCGTTGGGCGCTTCTCGAAACGCTAGCAAGCTTCGCAAGCTGACGATGAGGTGGCGAACCCCGCGAGGCCATGTGAAACCACAAACTCCTTACTGTACTGTTCTACACCTTCCACAGATCGCGTTGGTAGGGTCAGATTGATCACACACGAGGCAATGGTCGTTACAGTAGCTCCGAGTGGAGTCTTGGCTTGTACTGCCACGTGGAAGCTTGATCAAGCCGTGTCGAAATGACATGTGGTCCAGGTTTTGCTGACAAGATCCAGCGCCCAGCAATCGAAGGACAACGGCAAAGACTCGACACGTTGGATTAGCGTCAGCGAAGTGTGACCACACGAGCCTGCTTGTCCCAGTGTTGGCCACACGCGTCAATTTCATGGTGCGCTGCGCAGTGATTACATAACGTTCTATGGTACACCACTCAAAAATCAAAGACGGCCTATATCGATTTAAAACAGCATTGACCACAATAATTGTTCCATTCAACATGTAAGCTGCATGCTGTTGGTAGACCAGTTAGTAGCAAGATTAACAAATATCATAATCCATTTCATGAAAGCACTTGAAATAGGGCATTCAACCATGAACCTTCTTTTCTGCCATGCGTCTCTGGAGCTCCTTCCGAAGACTGCAAGCCAGGGGAAACAACAGGCCATGCGAGGGGAAACAATGAACATTGTATATGGCAAAGGGAGTGCAGAAAGGGACAGATTGAACAGAAGATGAACAAAACAGGAACGCCTCAATTTCACTGCGAAACATCCCAATTCACAAAAACAATGAAAGGATACTTGCTGTTTCACATACCCTTGCTCGCGCTCTAGTCGATGAATCTCCTTTTGCTCCTTTTCCTCCTCCTGCTGCTTCTGCTCCCTCCCACCTCGTCCTCGCCTCCCCCCATTCCTCTCCTTGCTACTCCCACGACCCTCCTCACTCTCACTCCCACTCTCACTCCCTCCCACACGCCCATGCTCAGTCCCACCTGCATCCCTCTCCCCGTTCCATCTCTCATCCTCACCCCCATCTCTTCTCTCACCACCACCCCCCTGAACCAACCCCTCACCACCCTTCCGAACCGCCCCTCCTCCCACACCACCCTCCCCCTCATCCATCTCGTCAACCCCACGCCTGGCCCTCTTCCTTTCCCCTCCTCTCTCCTCCCCCCCACTCCCCTTCACCCCCTCTCCCTGCCCATCAGGCCCTTCCGAATCAGAATCATCTGACCGCCCTCTGCCTCGTACCACACCTTCCCCCACCCCCTCTCCCTCAACCCTCCCCTTCCCCTCGGCCCTCCTCTCTCTCTCATGCCTCTCCTCCACTCTCCCAGGGTCAGGGCTGCGGTTCCCTCCTCCTCCTCTCGCTCTCGGATCAGGGCTAACACTGCGTCTCCCTCCTTTCACTCTCGCGCTAGGACTAGGGCTGCGCCGCTGAGCCATGTGCTTGGGGCTGGGACTGCGTGGCCCTCCTCTCCCCATGGGGCTACGGCTAACACTGCGTCTCCCTCCTCTCCCCCTGGGGCTACGGCTAACACTGCCTCTCCCTCCTCTCCCTCTGCGCTCCCGGGGGCTGGGACTAGGGCTGCGGCGGTGCCCCATGTGCTTGGGGGAGGGGCTGCGCCCTCGAGGGCGGGGGCTGATGCCTCGCCCCCTCGGACTCACCCCCCTCCGCCTTCCCCCCTCCCTTCCGCTCTCCCTCGGACTCCTGTCCCTCAAATCCCTTGAATCTCTCCCCCTAGGGCTGCCCCCCCTTGGGCTCGCACTGCCGCTTCGGCCCCTCCTGCTGCCCGCTGCTCTCCCTCTGGGACTGGGACTGGGGCTTCTGTGAGCCCTGCGGTGATCTACCCCCCTCCGCTCAGGGCTCCTTCGGAAACTACCCCGGTAAGGGCTCCGCTCCCTGCCTCTCTCACCGCCACCCCGGCCCCTATACGGACTCCCCCCATCCCTTCCCCTGTAGGGGCTCCGCCCATCCCTGCCTCTGTAAGGGCTCCTCCTGTCCCTCCCATTGTCCCTCCCACTGTCCCTCCCACTGCCCCTCCCACTGCCCCTGCCACCATCGTTCGGCCGTGACCGGGTGGTGGGGCTAGGGCTGGGGCTGCGGTGTCGCCTCATCACCCCATGCCTAGGGCTGGGACTACGTTGCTGCCTTCTTTGCACCCTGGGACTTGGGCTGCGGCGGCCAGGGCTGCGGCTCAAGCTTCTGCCAGGGCGTCTGGCAGGGCTTCTGCTGCTGCCCTCACGTCTGCCCCTCCTTTCCATGCCCCTCCTCTCGTCGTCCCTCGGCCTTCTCTCATCCTCCCATCCGTGCTCCCTGCCTCCGGCTGCACGCATTGCAGCAGAGCGCCCTCTCTGGTTCCAGGACAATGGGAAGAATGACAACAGGAAGAGAAAAGGATGGGCGAGAAGGGAATACGGATGTGAGGACTCAAGAAGAGCTGCTGCAGCGCAGCTTATGAACCTTCAAAACCGCACTTGTGTCGAGTCACCTAAATTGCTGCTTTGTCGAATCACCTGAGCTGCATAACCTTGAGCTGCTCTTTTAACACCGTCCCAAGGCATCTCACCCCAAGGCAGCTCACCTTATTCAGCAGCATCGCACCTCATCAAAGCAGTATCTCACCTCATCCAACCGCATCTCACCTCATCCAACCGCATCTCACCTCATCCAACCGCATCTCACCTCATCCAGCAGCATCTGTCGCAGCCTCTGTGCTTCTGCTGCCACCTCGTCTCCTCGCCTCCTCTCCTCCTCCACCCTCCTCCTCTCCTCCTCCTCCCTCCTCTCCTCCTCTTCCTCCTCTATTCGCATCCTCTCCATCCTCTCCTCCTCCTCTATCCTCTCCCTCTCCCTCCGCTCCTCCTCCTCCTGCATCCTCCTCTCTTCCTCCTCCTCCTGAGCCACACAGAGTTAAAAGATAAACAGAAAGACAGTGCAGAAAAATGCAGACAGTCACAACAAAGAGAAAGAGGGGAAAAACGAAATGGAGGAGGATGCATACAGGCAAGTGGACAGAGAATGCTCTTGCACTCAGCTGGATTCCTCTCACACACACATACATGCTGCTGGATTCCTCTCACACACACATACATGCTGCTGGATTCCTCTCACACACACATACATGCTGCTGACACAATCGAAGTGAAAGACAGAGATGGAAAGAGAGAACGACACAAACACAAATTACCAAAACCAGCTAGTAATACTCGAAAAGGAGGGAAATACTTATTTGAAGAAAAAGAAAAAGAGAGAGAGAGAGAGAGAGAGAGAGAGAGAGAGAGAGAGAGAGAGAGAGAGAGAGAGAGAGAGAGAGAGAGAGAGAGAGAGAGACATCGATCATCCTAGTAACAGCAATGCCTCACCTCCAGCCGTCGCCTCTCCTCCTCTTCCTCCAACTGCCTCAACCTCTCCACCTCCTCCTCCTCCTCCCTCCGTCGCTGCTCCTCCTCTTCCCTGCAAACGGGATAGGGAGGGGGCGGATGTGCTAGGGTAAGTTGCACAACAGTGAGAAGAGGAGGACCAAGGGTGAAAATCGGCGGGAAGGAAGGAGGATGATAAACTAAGGAGCAATGAGATGAGGATGAATGAAGCAATTTGACAGTGGGAGAGGGCAAGCGGCAGGTCACTTATGGAAAAAAAAAAAGGAAATAATGGAAAAAAAGGCTTGGATGAAACCGAAGGGATAAACGGATTTTTCAAGACATCTCAACACTCCCTGTAACCTCCCCCCCCCACCCCACCAATTCCCCTCCCCTAGAGACACATGTCACGTAAGCCTCACCGACGAACCCTCTCTTCCTCCTCTCGCGCCTTCCGCTCCTCCACCTCCTTCCTCTCTCTCTCCGCCCGTTCTCTCTCCGCCTTCCTCCGCTCCTCCCGCTCCCGCTGCTGCCTCTCCTCCTCGGCTCGCTGCTCCCTCGTGAATCGCCTCCTCCGCACGTTCCGCTCGTCGAAGTAATCCCCACCGTCGATCACCAGCTGTACTCTCGCCAGAGATAAAGATCCTTCCTGCAAACAACCAATCAAGTGGGTGCAGGGGGGGAAGGAGGAGAACAGGGACATGAAGGGGAGCCGCACGTTCTGCTCGTCAAAGTAATCCCCACCGTCGATCACCAGCTACACTCTCGCCAGGGACGACGATCCTTCCTACAAGGCAGCGTTCAAGTGGAAAATCAGGAGGGGGAAGGGGGTTATGGGGGGAGGGGGGAAGGGGGGGGGGGGGGGAGGGATTGGTGGTTAGGGGGCAAAGAAGGGGAGCCGCAAGTTCCACTCGTCAAAGTAATCCCCATAGTCGATCACCAGCTACACTCTCGCCAGAGACGACGATCCTTCCTACAAGGAATCGTTCAAGTGAAAATTCAGGGGAAGGGAGAGAGGGGTGGAGGGGGGAGGGGAGGAGAGGGAGAGGGGTGGAGGGGGGGAGGGGTGGAGGGGGAGAGCGGTGGAGGGAGGGAGGGGTGAAGGGGGAGAGGGGTGAAGAGGGAGAGGGGTGGGGGAGAACGGGGACATGAAGCAGAGCCGCAAGTTTTTATCGTCAAAGTAATCCCCACCGTTGATCTCGAGCTGCACTCTTGCCAGAGACCACGATCCTTCGTACAAGAGACGACTGCTGTGAAACTGAGCTGCACGCCTCAAAAGAAACCACGAGCCTTCCTATAAAAGATCGTGAGAAACTGAGAAAAAGAGAGGGGGGGGGGTTGATGGGGAGGGGGGGGGTTTGATGGGGAGGGGGGGGGGGTTTGATGGGGAGGGGGGGGGTTTGATGGGGAGGGAGGGGTTTGATGGGGAGGGAGGGGTTTGATGAAGAGGGGGGGGGTTGATGGGGAGGGGGGGGGGTTTGATGGGGAGGGGGGGGTTTGATGGGGAGGGGGGGGTTTGATGGGGAGGGGAGGGAACGGGGGGAAGGGAGCAATGAGAAGGAGTAGCACGTTTCCCTCGTCTAGAGCCCCACCGTAAAGCACAAGCTGCACTCTCGCTAGGGACCTGTGTGTGAGTGGGTGCTGTGCGTGCGCGTGAGTGTGAGCGTGTGCTGTGCGTGTGTGTCCTGGGAATGTGTGTGTGTGCGAGTGTGTGCGTGTGTGTGTGTGTGTGCGAACACATATCACTCGCTCTCACCTTCTTCACAGCATGTCGAGCCAGCGCCTTCACAGCATCACAGAACGTGCTGTGGCTGCCGAACCTCACCATCACGTCCGTCTCCAGCTTCAGCGCCAAACCTGCTCCCAAACCTAATCCCAAACCAGCCGTCCTCGATGCTGCTGCACCAGCAACCCCCAGGGTTCGTCCTTGTGTGACTTTAGCGGAGGGGAGCTCCTCGTTGGGGTCTAGAAGCTCGATGTTCCTGTAACGAGGGAAGTATTCCAGAAGAAGCATGAAACCAAATGACAATTTAGAGACGTTCTATAAACGTTTTGCTCGTGTAGCGAGAAAGGATTTCCAATAAGGAGCATCTGGCGATGCATCTGATTACCTGATGCTTCACCTGATCGTATCACCTGATGTTGCACCTGGTCAATTCACCTGATGACCTCACCTGATGGTACACCTGATATTGCGCCTGATGGTCCTACCTGACGGGACCAAACGAGGAGAAGACAGTGTGGGCGATCAGCAGCGACGGCTTCGTGGAAACCCGCTCTTCCGCCAACCAGCGGCACGGAATGCCGCATACCCTCAGCGTATCAGGGCGCTTTTCCGAACCACCCTTCCTTCCGGATTCCTCTGCCAGCCAATCGCGCATCAGCTCGCCATAGGACGGCGAATCTGCTGGCTCAGCATGACAGGTAATTCGAGCCGCGGAAACCCTAGTTTCCCAACTTCCGAAGTTAGAGACCACAGAAGAGGCCACGGATTCTCCTGAGGGTCCCCATAATAGCAGCGTCGCCACGGCGATTGGCTCGCCACGTGTGATCTTATCGAGGTTCTTCGTCCAGGAAATCGTGAGATCTTTCTCGTTAAAAGAAGGCCAATTGGACGCCGACGCGTGGGATCTGTATTTCGCCTCGATCGCCTCGCGCAGCTCCCATTGGTTGACGAGCTTCGGTAACCCGTCTTGTCGCACGAAGGAAAGCGAGATCGCACGGCACGGCACAAGCGAGAGGCCATGCCCGACACGCAAGTCTGAAATATCTTCCTTCTCTTTCTGAACCAGCACGGGAACTAGGCTTGTCGCCATAGCTCCGCCGTCTCACGATGCACGAGTTTTAGGTCAGTAAACTACCTCCGAGCAAGATACTAGCATCTGGAAACGTTCTCAGCCGAGCCGACTCCTGGTCCTGGACTGGATTATGGAGTTGACAAGGCAGATCAGTCCAGTCCAGGTTTGCAATAATCGTTTTAGAGTGCACCGCGATACAACACACTATCTTAGAACAATAACGATTAAGTAAATACATGTGCTGGTCAGATCAGTTTGCGCATCACAATCCCTGACATCCAGCCAATATTTAGAAATCCGAGGTGCACATCTAAGGCAGGTAACAAAGGATAGCCCCGTCGAAGTGAGGAGGCGGCCTGAACTAGACAATCAGGCATTTAAGTGGCAACTCGATGTAAGCATGAAATAGGGTTTGTCAGCACAGGGGAGGGAACATTCAAGTTACAAGGGAATTCTGTCGTACAAGAGGGCTTAACCAAGACAGATGGAAGCCTGACTAAGGCCTTAAGCGGCACAATCAGGTGTACAATATCAAATCAAGGGAAAAGAGCATTGAGTCGAGGAGAAAATGTGTTTCAATCAAGTACACGCATTGTTTCAGTCGAGGTAGAAGAGGGAGACGATCTTGCCCATGTCCTTGGCCTCCTGACACGTCTCCATGAGCAGCCGGCTGTCATGGAAGCGAATGACTTTTGAGTCGACACAGAGTCATTTCGAGCCCACCCCAATCCCGATGGGTGCTTAAGAGTGGAAGCTTTCTAATCAAGGTAGAAGAGGGTGACGATCTTGCCCATGTCCTTGGCCTCCTGACATGTCTCCATGAGCAGCCGGCTGTCGTGAAAAGCGAAGCAGATCACATGCTCTACCTCCGATAGAATGTCCATGTTGCACAGCCTGTGTGGCACATGGCAGGGAGGGTGAGGAGAGGACAGCGAGAGACAGTGAGGGGGGATAAGGAGCCACTTGGAGGCAGATCACATGCTCCAACAAGACAGAATGTCCATGTTGCTCAGCCTGTGTGGCACAAGGGGGAAGGGGAATGCTGATGCCGGAAAGTAAGTGGTGCGAGCAGACATGCCAGAAAGGCATGCTGAAGCAGATCACATGCTCCACCTTCGATAGAATGTCCATGTTGCACACCTGTGGGGCAGAATGAAGAGCGGGAGAGGGAAGGAAGGGAGATGGGGAAACGGGAGAGGGAAGATTTGCTGTTGATTCTCTAGAGCAGACAGACAGTCACCCGTAAGCAGATCAAATGCTCTATATTTGATAAGAGCACATGTTCCACAGCCCGAGGGCTCATGGGTAGGGGAATCACATGGGTGAAGGATGGTGCAGGTGAGAGGGAGAGGGTGACGAAAGTGAGGGGCTTTGGGGAGAGGGGCTATGGAATAGGAATGAGCGAGAGGTGGGTGAGCGACGCAGATCACATCACATCCACATTCCCCATGCTCGCCTCCCACAGGTCCCCCATGTGGCATGGGCTGTGCGCGGTTCTGAAAAACTTCTCCCCACAGCCTGTGTGCAGATGGGCGAGGCGATGCGATGTGGGAAGGGTTTATGTTGAAGCTGGAAGGAGAAAGTGGGCGGGGCAGCAGGCAATATCTGCTGCCTGGGAATGCAGTGCCATACCTGCTGGCTTCCAGTAGTGGCAGATGGTCGTTGTGAGGCTTCTCCACTAGGTTCTCCACCTGCCATAACATGGACAGCCAGTTGAGGGTGGGGAGGGAGAGAGTAGGAGAAAGAGGAGAGTGAGGGAGACGGAGAGAATTATGAAATGGATAACTGTCAGCAGCTCATCGATCGACCCTTAGTCCTCGACCTCCCTCTCACCTTCTCACCTTCTCATCTCCTTCACTCACCATCTTCAGCACCTACCCCTCCTCACGTGCACACCTTTTTTAGCAGCTCCTGGCCTTCAGGCGGCTGCTTGTCGAGGGACTGCAGCAGGATGATGGTGAGCAGCTCCTACCTCTCACCTTCGTCTCCCCTTCACTAAACCCTGAACCCTGTTCACCTTCTCGACTCACCTTCTTGAGCAGCTCCTGGCTTTCAGTAGGCTGCTTCCCCAGTGACTGCGGCAGGATGACGGTCAGCAGCTGCTACCTCTCAACTTCGTCCTCCCCACTTCGCCCTCCCCCAGACTCACCTTCTTCAGCAGCTCCTGGCTCTCGGGAGGCTGCTTGCCGAGCGACTGGGGCAGGATGACGGTGAGCAGCTCCGCCTTCTCCGCCCTTAGCGCCCCGCGGATCACTGCCGCGTTCGTGCCCGCTGCCCCCGACGTGTAGATGTGGTTGTTCTGCACGCAAGGTGAGGAAGAGGGGGACGGGGAAGGGGTGGACCAAGAAAAGTTGGGGGTGGAGAGGGGAGGGGGAAGGAGAGGGAGGGGGGAGATCAGCGAGGGGAAGAGGGTGGGAAGAAGAAGGAGGGAAAGAGGGAAGGGGGCGTTTATTGAGGGAGGATTGGAGGAGGGGACAGGGTTTATCCATCTGTCAGGGGAAGTGAGAAGAGGCGGAGTGGCGAGAAGGGGAGTGGGGAGAGGGGGATTGGGGAGAGTAAGAGCAGGGAGCGGGTTTTGATTATCACACAGCACAGAACAGGAGTCACCAGCCTCCATCTCACAGTGATGATAAATTCTGGAGATTCTCAAAAGCGACTCACAGTGATGATGATGGCATAGCAGAGGATCTTGATGAGCTGCTGATGCATGGAGCCCATGTTGCGCGTGCCAAAGAAACACTCGATACAGCCCCACTCAGTCTCAGATCACACATCGTGATATCATGGCATAGCCGAGGATCGGATTCAGCTGTTGGTGCACGAATCCCCTGCTGCCACAAAAATACCTGATACAGCCCCATTGATACCACACCAAACACAGCCCGCATCGCACTCACCGTAATAATCATAGCATAGCTGAGGATTTCAATCAGCTGTTGGTGCATGAAGCCCATGCTGCGCGTGCCAACACCCGATACAGCCCCTCCCACACATAGCACGCGTACCGCACACCGCACACAGCCCGCATCCCTCACTCACAGTAATAATCATGGCATAGCTGAGGATTTCAATCAGCTGCTGGTGCATGAAGCCCATGTTGCGCGTGCCAAAGAAGCCAATGTTCCGCGGCCCCGACTGCTGGATGGCCAGCAGCTCCTGCAGGTAGTCCACGTCAGGGGGGCTCCTCTGCGTCTCCGCCACCAGCGTCGTCGCCCCTGTAGTGATCGCCTCCAGCTGCGTAGGCAAGTCCTCCGTGAACATCCGAACCTCCATGCCCCTATCCATACCCCCCCCCTGCCGCATCTCCATGCCCCTCCCCTCCTGCATCGCTGCTAGTCTCCCCTCCAGCCTTCGCTCCAAATCCCTTACCCCGGATGCATCTTCATCCGAAGCAGCTGCTCTCGAATTCGAGCCTCCTGCAGTGGTGGCGTGTGGTCTCACGGGTCGGGCAACCTGTGTACCATCAAAGGAACGACCGTGCCGCGGCTGCTGGCAGTGCAGCGACAGTCCGCGGAGAGGCAAGGAACGCCTTGGGAATGCCGAGCTACTCCAGCTGACGAGGGTCGCTCGGTGGTGATTGGTGATGGGTGAGAGTGGTGCCACGTGTCCGTTTGGGCGTGAGGTGCGCCTGGGAAAGCAAGGGGAATTGCAAAGATGGGGAGCGATTTGATTAGAGAAGGGTTATTGAATGAACTGGATATTCGGATGGCTTCTACGCGTGCGTGTGAGGTGAATCTGAGGATCGACAAGAGGGATTGGAGACCTGTGGATTGAAAAGAGGATCCCAGTGGTGAGTGAGCTGGATGATTGGCATTTTGAGACTTCATTGCAAAGGACAATTGGATGAGCTGCAGTGTTTTGCTATCACGGGTTTACTAGTAGGGTTGTGAGCTGCTTTCGACAGGGATATGACCCATTACTGGCAGTGCGCACTGGCTTGTTAATCAAAAGGCAGTGTGGAATACCATTCTGAGTCGACTCAAAAGTCATCTTGCTTTCGTCAGGGATATGATCCGTTACTGGCAGTGCGCACTGGCTTGTTAGTCAAGATGCATGGTGGAAGAACACGGCGGCTGGATCAGAAAGTTCTCGTGAATGAAATGGCTTGACGATGGGGACGAAAGCGGCAAAGCAGCACCAGAGGAACGGCGAGAATGCGACAGAATGAAAGGCGACGGCATGAAGGCAACAGCGTGAAGGAGACAGTATGTAAGAAACAGTTCTGTCGGCAACAGTTGACGGCGACGGGTAACGGTGGGGATCATGAAGATCAGAAGCGAGGAAAAGTAAAAAAAACGGAGCCACGACCAGAAGCAGAGCCATGATCATCAATATGACTGTGAAACGCTCGTCTTTACTGCCAGCACACCCACACCCAGCACGTACCTCACGCACCCAGCAGGAGCTGGCTTTGAGTCAACTCGAGAATCACCCAGCACGTACCCGACGCTGTGCAGATGCGTCGGGGAGGCGAACGCGGATGGTCGAATAGCCAACATCAGATCCGCCTTGAGTGTTAACGGCAAGGGTCCAGGAACCTTTTCTAGTACTTTCTGATAGGATATCCTAAACGTGCTCCAGAAATGCGTAAAAGAAGAATGGCTCGCACGGAACAAAGCTGTCGAGGCGCGCAGGATCTCAAAATAATTCAGAAGAAGCGGCGAGACAAGAATGCGATTCACGCCAGGTCGGCTGTAAGGAGATTATGCCTACCGACGAGCCTCCAAGCGAATATACTGCTTGAAAATACAATCATGTAAGAAAAACTGCAGTCGAATCTTGAGGCACAAGCTTAGAAGGAGACCAGTGTCCCGATCGAATCGCTAAGACGCTATGGAACTTGAATGAGACCAGGAATATGTGAGCAAGAACTAAAACCAAGGCTGGTCGAAAGATGCATGTTTGGCTGAAGCAATGCCTGGCCGGAAAACCTGGCTGCTCGGAGCAATGCTGGTTGCAAGCTAGGAGTTCCTGATCCGGGCAGCAGAAATGGCGGAATTAAAATGTTATATTGGCGAATAGAATCAAAGCGGTAATAGAGAGCAGGAACGATGATTGGTTCACGTGGTAAGGAAGACATTTTCGATTGGTCAGTATAAGATTTTGTCCCCGACGAAAGGACACCTTTTGCCTCAGCGACTGTCCCTTTCGCGTCAGCGCCGATGCACCATTTTAGCTGAAAGAATAATGCTGTAATAACAGCACCCAGAAGCTTACAGTCGCATAATGTTACACTAAATCCTTACACGACTAGTTAAATGCTTTCCTGCTCATTCAGCACCAATTGCCAGCAGATGCATATGCGTGGCAAAGAAAAACTGAATAAAAGCTGGGAACTCCAGGAACTCAATGTGAGCCGCTCTTCCCAGCAGGCGGTTCAAATTACGTTGCTGTTGCGGCAACTCAAAGTTGACGTCACAGCGAATGAATGATCGATCTCCAGACGTCCACGAAGGATGGGAGAGGAATGGCGCAAGGCAGCCTTCAACCATTGATGTGTACACGCCACCGAGACGAGCATCCCTCAGCACCGCACCAAAGACCTCCAGACGGGCGGAATGATATGGCACATACTCGTCCTGAGGTGGCTCGACAGGCGGGCACAGAATTGGGGAGGGAGAGGCGATTGAACGAGTGACATGGAGTGTATGGATGAAGTGCAAGCTGGCGTGGCATAAGTCAGGAAGATAACTGATGGTTTGCAGGGCGGCATGAGTTGATGAGAGGGGAGGGAGGGATGCACCTGGGGCGAGGCAAAGAGAACGATGTGCTTGAAGTGGACCCACTCCTGGCGCTGCAGGCATGGTGGAGCAACAAACAGACAGAAAGGGAGAGATAGAAAGGGACACACAGACACGGTGGGTTCCGCAAGGAGTGTGAAAAGCCAGGGATTAAGTCAGGGCTGACAGCAGATTGCAAAAGTCACACTGGCACACACATGGATGTCTGTGTGTGATTGCGGAGTCCGCAAGTTGGAAAATTCTCAAGCACACACAAGGCCGGACCAACCTTTGAGTCGACTCAGAAGTAAAAATAACAATAATATCAATTACACACGGCCAGACCGACCTGAGAGAGGCGGTAGATGCAGGAGTCGCGGACGTTGAGCGAATCGGAGAAGGACAGCTGGCGCATGAGGGAGGAGGGGTCGAGGCGCTTGAGCAGCCACATGCCGCCCGTGACGAGGGAGTTGGAGTGGTACATGTAGCCCAGGTGGGGGCCACAGAAGGACAGGTAGAGGTGCAGATAGGGCAGGTACGGCCGCATGCTGTCGTCTGCAGTGGGGAGCAGGGCAGGAGAGAGGGAGTCACGGGATAGAAGATATGTAAAAAAAGGCACAAAATGAAGGCCCTTGGGCAGGGAGTTGATTGAAGGGGCCAGTGGCATGGATATGTGGAGTGTGGCAGGCACACCCCCTCCCCCACCCCGGGCCCCCGTGACGAGGGAGTTGGAGTGGTACAAGTAGCCCAGGTGGGGCCCACAGAAGGAGAGGTAGAGGTGCAGGTAGGGCAGGTAGGGCTGCATGCTGTCGTCCGCAGGGGAGCACGGCATAAGGTTGGGGTTCAAAGGATGGAATGTCTTGGGAGCAAAGAGAAGCCATGCGAATGGCAGGGTCAATTGGGACGAGTGAAGGTGCAGGTAGGTCAGGTGAGGCCTGGGGCCACGGCCCAGGTGGGGCCACAGCCCAGGTGGGGCCACAGCCCAGGTGGGGCCACGGCCCAGGTGGGGACCAAAGAGGGACAGGTAGATACGGCAGACATAGCCAGCATCTCACATTCGTAAGAGAAAGTCCGGGGGCTAGATGACCTGCTAGCACCGCCCATTACCTGCTAGCACCGCCCATTACCTGCTAGCACCGCCCATTACCTGCCAGCACCGCCCATTACCTGCCAGCACTGCCCATTACCTGCTAGCACCGCCCATTACCTGCCAGCACTTCCCAATACCTGTCAGTGCTGCCCATTACCTGCCAGTGCCGCCCGCACGACAAGGTTCCCAATGGAGTAGCCCACAAAGGACAGCCGCTGCAACATGTTCTTCCTATTGGGCCGGTCGATCGGCCCAAACATGCTGCGTAACACGGTTACCACCTCGTGAGCCAGGCGAGCGCCCATCGCCTCCACCCCACTCAGGTCGGGGGCGCGGGCGGGCGAGTGCGACGAGGAGGAGGGGGAGGGGGAGTGCGGGGCGGCGGAGTTTGTCTCGTTGCTCTCGGCCATGAGGCACTCAATGTCCGGGTCTAGTAGGCGCCAGCTGTCACGCACGAGCCTTAGGTCCATGCGGTGGCCCTGATAGCCATGCACAAACACCACCACATGCTTCCCCCGTGTCGCCTTCCTGCCACCCTCCCCTCCTGTCGAACCTGCGGCAGATACACCTGGGGATTCTGCACCCCCTGCTGCTGCTGCCGCTGCTGCTGGGCTGAGTGACGGGAGGTGGTTGAGATGGGTGGGGATGGGTGGGCGGTGGGGCGAGGAGAGGCAGAAAGGGATGGAGGCGGGTGGGTAGGAGTGCAGAGAGGAGAGGAGGGAGTCGAGAGAGGTGGAGGTGGTGGGAAGGAGGGAGGGGGACATGGGGAGGGGAGGACTGGGGAAGGTGGATGTGGGATTAGTGGCGTCGATGACAGAAGCAGCAGCAGCAGCAAAGCTGGCAGGTGAAGCAGGAGTGGTGGGAGTGGAGGGAGTAGTGGGAGTGGTGGGGGTGTGGGGCGTGGGTGTGAGAGGAGGAGAGGAGATGGAGGTGAGGGAAAGAGGCAGCAGCGAGTGGCAGAAGAGCAGCGGCTGCATGAGTGGGCGGGAGTAGAGACGCATGTCCTGCAGGCAGGACGGCACACAGGGCAGCGTGCGCTGGGGGACACAGAGGGAAACAGGCAGGGCAGGATGGGGGAAGAAGGGAGGGGGATGAGGGAGAGGTGAGGGGCGGTGTGGGGTTATTGAGAAGGAGTGGGTGCGACTAGAGAAGCATGTCCTGCAGGCACGACGGCACACAGGGCAGTGTGCACTGGGGGGAAGCATAGGGGAACAGGCAGTGCAGGGAAGCAGGGAGGGGCGGAGGAAGAGTGGGAGAGCACAAGGGCATGAATTGGCGAGGAGGCAAAGAGAATAAATATGGTTGAGCAGAGGAAATGAGGAACGGAAGGGGTAGATAGAAGATCATGGCAGTGATGGGGTTACGGCGGCACGAGAAGGGAACAGTACCAGGTTGAGAGTGGTGGTGAGGGTGGGTCGAGGCAGCAGCTGGGGCCGGCAGGGAGGCAGGGCGAGCACGGAGGAGGGCACTGCAGGCATGGCCGCCCGCACCTGGCGGGCCAAGGCTGCTGAGAGGAGCGCCAACTGAGAGGGGTGTGGGGGGAGAGAGGTGTGGCGGAGGGAGGAGGCAGGATTGGGGATGCAGTTATGGCATCGGTGGGTTGGCAGGGCGAGCACGGAGGAGGGCACTGCAGCCATGGCCGCCCGCACCTGGCGGGCCAAGGCTGCTGAGAGGAGCGCGAGCTGGAGGGGAGTGGGAGAGATGGAATGGGGATGCAGCAGTCAAGTGAGGGCAAGGCCTCACGAGGCCCCTGAAACGTCACTCTGAGGCGGCCCCTGGAAAGCCGTTCTGAGGCGCCTCACAAGCAACTCGCACCTGGGGAGCCAAGGCTGCTGAGAGGAGCGGCAGCTGAGAAGGTGTGAGACGAGAGAGGTGGGTGGGTGGATGCTGGGATAAGACAAGCAGAAGAATAGCAAGCCACTCAAGTCAGTGTCCTCTTGTTGCAGCAGGGAGTGCTTGGCGATAGTGACATTGAGGCAGCAAGCAATCAAGGGAAACCTTTATAGTGGACCTTGAGAACTAAGAGAGTCAGAGGCGGAGAAGACAGGCAGACGACAGGTGACTTTCGAGACGTCTCAAAACTCGCGGCAGCAAGCAATCAAGGCAACAAACTCTGAGTGGACCTCGAGAATTATGAGAGTAAGAGATGGAGAAGACAGGCGGACGGCAGGTGACTCACATCGCTCTGCTTGTCTGGCGGCATGAATTGCCTGGCTGTGGTGACATCGGGCCAGCGGTCGAGGCCAAAGAGCTGCTCTGTCTGCATGGGCGAGGAAGACGCATACACCCACGGCGCTGCTTCTCGTGTTTGGTTTGCCACCCACTGCTGCCGCAGCACCGCACACAGCTCCACGTGGCACAGCCTGTTTGGATGGGAGGAGGAGCGTGGACGGGTGGAATGGAGGGGGAACAGGAGCAAGGGCGGAAGGAGAAAGAAGTGGTTCTGTGCAAGTCAGAAACCTGCTAACCTTGCGAGGTGACTTCTGAGTCGACTCACAAGTCACCTTGCTAACCTCTGAGCCGACTGAAGAGGTTCTGTGCAAGTGAGATACCTCTGACCTTGCTAGTGCTTTGGCTTCAGTCCTTAGGAGGGATCGCCAGGAAAGAGGAAGGGACAAAGTGACCGAACACGGTTTCACATGCAAGAAAAACCCTTGTGGTGCATACGTCTTACGCGTGTGCAAAAGCTGCGCATATGTATTACGTGTGTGCAAAAGCTGCACATACGTATTACGCGTGTGCAAAAGCTGCGCATACGTATTACGTGTGTGCAAAAGCTGCGCATACGTATTACGCGTGTGCAAAAGCTGCGCATACGTATTACGCTTGTGCAAAAGCTCATGTGTGAGCCACTCATGTGTATTACGTGCATGCTGAGGAAGGACGTCCAGTAGGCAGTCACGAGACTCCTATTGAAGCAACCAAAAGCAGCAACGGTCAGCAAGTATGCATTGAGGCTTTAGATGTGTGACAACTCGCTTGTGCATGCTGAGGAAGGACGTCCAGTAGGCAGTCACACGAGAGAGTGCTTTTGAGGTGTCTCAAAGATGGATAGACGGTCATTGCTTGTTGTGAGGTGTCTAAGAATTGAACAAATGGTCAGCAGCGTGCTGAGGAAGGACGTGCAGTAGGCAGTCACACAAGAGAGAGAGTGTTTGTGAGGAGTCTCAGAAACGCACAGACGGTCCGCAAGCAGTGGAGTGGAGACTCACTTGTGCATGCTGAGGAAGGACGTCCAGTACGCAGTCACACGAGAGAGTGCTCGTGCTTGCTGAGGAAGGACATGCTGAGAGAATGGTCAGCAGCAGAGACTCACTTGTGCATGCTGAAGAAGGACGTCCAGTACGCAGTCACGAGACCCTTTGCAGCAACCTTCACTGCTTCCACTTCCTCCTCCGTTAAACTCACACTCCCATCAGTCACAGTCACTCCAGTGGTGGTGGTGGTATCCCTCTTCCCTAACTGACTGCCCGTCCCATCCTCTGCACTCAACTCCGCCTTCCCACTTTCCTCCCTGCTTCCACCCCCAGCATCGGTAACCCCATCACCCCCACCATCATCACCGCTCTTTACCGTGCCCGACCCACCACTACTCTGCTCCCCTCCCCCATCACCCCCCACAGCCACACCTTCTCCCTCCCACTCCTGTGCTCTCCCCTTCAATCCATTGTCACCTCCGTTACAGTCATTACCACCCCCTTCACTACTCGCTGCATCCTCTCCACTCCCGCTCGCCCCTCTCTCTGTTGCTGGACCTGGCCCCTCACTTCTGCTCGTCTCCACTCCACCGGATTTCGCCCTTGCCCTGTCAGCATCTGCCCCGTCAGCATTTGCCCTGTCAGCATCTGCCCCGTCAGCATTTGCCCTGTCAGCATCTGCCCCGTCAGCATTTGCCCTGTCAGCATCTGCCCCGTCAGCATCTGCCACGGCAGCACGTTCCCTGTCAGCATCTGGCCTGTCAGCATCTGCTCTGTCGGACTGACCCATCAGCTTGCGCAGTGCACTGGCGAGCACCGGAGAGCAGAGCGACTGGAGAAAGGGGGAAGGAGAAGGGACGAAGGTGGGGAAGAGGAAGGGAGTATTAGGGATGAGAGGAAATAATACCAAGAGAGATTGAGAGAGTGAATAGTTTCTTTTGAGTATGTGCATACCAATAATTTGAGAGAGTATGTGCTGGTGTGGAACAAGATCTTCACCTGTAAATGGTTATGTGACCATGCATGGAATGGAAATCATACACCACCCCCCCACACACACACCCACACGCACCCACACCCACACCCACACACACCTGCTCAGCCATGGCGTCTGGGGGAGGCAGCAGGTGGTGCAGGTTGTATGTGGCAGCGAGCGCAGCGTTGAGCGAGCGCAGGAGGAGAGAGGACTCGAGCAGCAGACACGCCATGGTCGCTGTTGCGGGCTCTGCTAGCTGCAGGGGAGGAAGGAGTGGTGTGTGAAGGGAAGAGAGGGAGTAGAGTGAGTGAACGGAGACAGGACTCCAGCAGCAGACACACCATTGTCGCTGCTGAGGGCTCTGCTAGCTGCAGGGGAGGAAGGAGTGGTGTGTGAAGGGAAGAGAGGGAGTAGAGTGAGTGAACGGAGACAGGACTCCAGCAGCAGACACGCCATTGTCGCTGCTGAGAGCTCTGCTAGCTGCAGGGGAGGAAGGAGTGGTGTGTGAAAGGAAGAGAGGGAGTAGAGTGAGTGAACGGAGACAGGACTCCAGCAGCAGACACACCATTGTCGCTGATGAGGGCTCCGCGAGCTGCAGGGGAGGAAGGAGTGGTGTGTGAAGGGAAGAGAGGGAGTAGAGTGAGTGAACGGAGACAGGACTCCAGCAGCAGACACACCATTGTCGCTGCTGAGGGCTCCGCGAGCTGCAGGGGAGGAAGGAGTGGTGTGTGAAGGGAAGAGAGAGAGTAGAGTGAGTGAACAGAGACAGGACTCCAGCAGCAGACACACCATTGTCGCTGCTGAGGGCTCTGCTAGCTGCATGCAGCAATTAACACAGAGAGCAAAAGGGAGGCGAGAGTGGGTGTGATGGGAACCACTAATCGGAGAGAGGACTCGAGCAGCAGACACGCTATGGTTGTTGTGGAGGGCTCCGCGAGCTGCAGGGGAGGAAGGAGTGGTGTGTGAAGGGAGGAGGGGGAGTGAAGGGAGGAACTAGAGTGAGTGCACGGATAAAGAGGACTCGAGCAGTAGACTCGCCATGGTTCTTGTTGAGGGTTCTGCTAACTGCAGAGAGTGATCAGAAAGAACAGAAGGCAAAACGTTGGGAAGGGGAACGGGGGAGGAAGTGGGTGTGAAGGGAGGGAGCAACTGGAGCAGCAGACATGGCAAGGCAAGGTCCTTGTGAATTAGTCAGCGAGTCAGATCCCCTTTCTTGCATGCTTACTCATAACGTGACAGACACATTCCCTCACTTACTCACACACACACTCACCTTCGCCTTGCCATTCTTCTCCCGCTCCCCTGCTCCAGAACCCTCTCCGCTCCTTCCCCTGCCCGCCCCAGGCGCCTCTCCATCCTTCCCATTGGCCGCACCACCTGTGATTCCAGTCCCCCCTCTGGCCACACCAGCAGCAGCCTCCCCACCTCTGGTGGGAGTGCTCTCAAGCATCTCATCTAGAAATGACTTGTCTGCAACATCCTTACCCACCACGTCACTCTGCTCCCACTGCGCCACAACAAAGCTACCCTCCGCCTCATAGAACTCCTCCCTGCCCTCCGCATGGCCTCCTGTGTCTGCCCCTGCAGCTCCTTCCCCTGATGCACCTGCCACTGATGCACCTCCCCCTGCTGCACCTGCCCCTGATGCACCTGCCCCTGCTGCTGCCCCTGCTGATATACCAGCTCCTCCTGCTGCTGCAGTTACTGCATCTGCCCCTGCACCTGCAGCTGCAGCAGCGTGGCCTGCAGCTGCACCCTCGTCTGCACTGCCTACACCAGCCAAGTCCTCACCACCACCAGCCCTGGGAGCATGAGCATCAGCAGCAGTCACAGCAGTGGTGCCGGCAGCCTGGGATGTAATGGCAGGGGCGCTGTCATCTTGGGACGTAACGGCAGTGGTGGGCTGCTGGGGGAGCGGTTGTGAGGAGTTGTCAGTGGTGTAGAAGGTGATTGGAGGCAGATCCGCCGGTGGAGGGAGTGTGGCGGGAGGGGGTCTCACTGGACGCACAACCCTGGGGTGTCATGGTGGGGAAAGGTCGTTGGGAGTGGTGGGTGGGAGATATGGAGGAATTGAGGATAGGGAGCAAATGCTTGCGCGGGGAGTGAGGAAGAGGGAGGGGAGAAATAATACATCTAGGAATCTCTAAAACTTGAGTGTCACATGCCGCCAGGGTGTAACACTACTGACCTGGGTCGAGGTGCGGAGTGCAGAGGCGGGTTGGAGAAGTACAGCATGGCAGCATGCACAGTGGCGTCCAGCTGTGCGAAGTGCATGGTGTCGAATGTGACGGGCGTGTACTCGTGCATGTGCTGCCACATAACCATGCTACGTGCTGCCACACACACACACGGCCTGCTACCATATGCCACGTGTGTTTGCCCTTTTCATGTGAGAGTTCCCACTAACCTGGGTTGATGCGTGGTGTGAAGAGATGGGTTGGAGAAGTGCAGCATGGCGGCATGCACCGTGACATCCAGCTGGCCGAAGTGCATGGTGCCGAATGTGACCGGCGTGTACTCATGCACGTGCTGCCACATGCCCATGCTGCCTGCTGCCACAAACACACCCACATGCTCCCTGTTGCTGCCACAAACAGACATGCTGCCTGCTACCATATGCCACTTGTGTTTGCCTTTTGAGGCATCTGAACACTCCAAGAATACACTTCCACTGACCTGGGTCGATGTGCGGAGTGCAGAGGCAGGTTGGAGAAATGCAGCATGGCGGCATGAACAGTGACGTCCAGCTGTGCGAAGTGCATGGTGTCGAATGTGACGGGCGTGTACTCGTGCACGTGGTGCCACATGCCGCCCGGAATGCGCACTATCTGCCGCGCTACAGGGTCTAGGTCGTCGGGTGGGACGTTGCCACGGCCCGCTGTGAAGGGCGCGTGGAGGAGCTCGAAACGCAGCGATACGGGCTCGTCGAATGGCCTCTGGGGGACAGGGGAAGGGGACGAGAAGGGCGCAGAGATGCAAGCACACACAAGTGCATGCAGGCGGGGCCGCGGGAGAAGAGACGCAGACCATGAGAGACATGTTGCACACATGAGAGACATGTTGCACACATGAGAGACATGTTGCACACATCTGAGTTGCGTCCAGGTCATCAGGAGGCACGTTCCCCCGGCCCGCTGTGAAGGGCATGTGGAGGAGAGGAGCTCAAAGGGCAGCGATAGAGGGTTGTCGAATGGTCTCTGGAGGACAGGGACGAGGAACGCAGGGCACACACACGCAAGCACACACAGCGAGAAGAAGGACACGTGCATACCTTTTGGCGCACAGCAGGTCGAAGCAGGCGACCTCCCGAAGCCCCACATCCTGGCGTGTGCGTGCCATGCTCTTTGCCCACCAGTGCCCCACACACACCACTGCCCCACACACACCAGTGCAACACATGTGCATTATGCATACCTTCTGGCGCACAGGCACGTGGAAGCAGGCGACCTCTCGTAGCCCCACGCCCTGCCATGTGTGTGTGCACCAGGCGCCTTACTGCCTGTGACGCCTGTGTGAGCATGCCCCACTACCACACACACACATACCATTGCACCACTCGTACACACCTTGTGGCGCACGGGCAGGTGGAAGCAGGCGACCTCTCGTAGCCCCACGTCCTGGCTTGTATGCACCACGCTCTTTGTTGTCTGTGCTTACTACTGCCCCACCACTGCAGCACTCGCACACACCTTCTGGCGCACGGGCAGGTGGAAGCACGCGACCTCTCTTAGCCCCACGTCCTGGCGGGCGAAGCGGATGCGGAAGTAGCGCGAGTGGTAGCTGCTGTCGCTGTCGTCCACCCGCCATGACGTCAGCGCCTCGCCCTTGTGAGTCTCTGGGACTGGGGTTGAGAGAGGAGGATGAATGAAACATCAGGGACTGATGGAAATGACGCATCAGGGATTGACGGAATGTTTGATCGAATGTCACTGAAGTGCTATAAACTGAGGGGATTTTCAAACAATGTCAGGGATTGAATTGATGGTAAGTTGTCAGCGATTGGTGGAATATCACGAACATTGTCATGAACTGATGGAATGTCATTGAGATGTCAGGCATTGATGGAATGGCATTGAAATGCCAGGCATTGATGGGATGTCAGTGAATTGTCAGGCATTGATGGGATGTCGTTGAAATGTCAGGGATTGATGTGATGTCAGTGGAATGTCAGGCATTGTTGATGGAATGTCAGGCATTGTTGATGGAATGTCAGTGGAACCTCAGGGATTGATGGGGTGGCTTTGAAATATCAGGCATTGTTGATGGAATGTACAATAAATGATGATGCACTGTCAATCAAGGAGGAAACGGAACACCGCAGAAACTGTAAGCTCACTCGCTGGAAGCATCAGAGGGAAGTTCAAGACGTGTGCTTGCTTCGTGCTCGCGAGGAACGGAAAGCTGACGTGACGGCTCACATGCGTACTGCAGATGTGTTTTGAGTCGACTCAAAACACACCTGAAAGCATCAGAGGGAAGTTCAAGACGTGTGCTTGCTGCGTGCTCGCGAGGAACGGAAAGCTGACGTGACGGCTCACATGCGTACTGCAGAACGCGTGACGGGGACGCCAATCGCCCGGAGCTGTCCCACACGCATTGCACCTTCACGCCGTACCACCTGCGATTGCACGATGCCACGTCAGCACGGACTGAAACCACGGAGATCCAACATACTGATAGACTCGAAACGAAGTCACACAAAAACGACATTCGCGACCAGGGAAGTGGTTACTAGCGTACCCTTGTTTCAGCAGGTCGAGGTTATGAAAATTGTGGAGATACACCGCTACCTCCAGCTCTGGCTGGTTCGCCATTCTTGACCGTTGATTCGCCGTAATCAACGACGTTCCTCAGCAGGTGGTGACTGTAGAGGTTGCGAGAAATTCGCGCAGGGAATCTGGCAGCTCTGGCTAGTTTCTCATTCGGTGTCAGGGCTGGTCCGAAATACAGTACCAGGGTCGAAGACGAATGGTGATTGGTCAAGCGTATGAAGAATGACCCATCGCGAATCACGGCTGTAACTCAGGTGCTTAAGAGGCAAAGATAGTGAGCATCAAGAAAGTTACAGCGCACATATCGAGCACGAACGAGAGACCTAGCCATAGGCGAACGGAATCTATTTCCACACGAAATCACTCCATTCAGGGATTAGCTCAACAGATTTGGGGAAACAGTGAAGGGAGAGGGTGCTAGCACGTGAATGCACCCAATCCCGAGGTTCTCCCATCCCATCCCAACCTGCTAATGTTGACCTCATTTGGAGCTCGTTCGGCACAGCAATTGCAACGGCACACTTCGTCGGGATTGCATGCTAACTTCAAATATATCTACCTGTTCCCTGAAAAGCATTCCTGCTTAGTTTCATCATATCCGAACTTGCCTTGGGCTCTTGGGCTGTGCACTATTCTTGCATCAACACAGAGCTTCTGAAGAACAAAAATCCATAAAGCCTCTAGAAAATCAAAACTAGCTATCTATGGCTGCATGCTATGTTGGCTTCTCGTACGTGTTGGCATCCATCCAATCACGGCACATCTTCTGCACCATGTCGGCTGCATCCGCTAGAATCAACATGTGAGTGTCGTCTAGAACCTGAGGAATGGCAACAGAGCGAACGGTAACATGAATCAAACGGATACTCATGCCTGCTTCATAAACATGCGGTTCAGATTGAAGTTGGTTGGTTGATATTTCTCAAAAATGAGTCAAACAACGAACAATGAGGGGTATTTGCGGAAGAGCATAGCACCTGAAGAATAAACTTCTCGGCGCCTCCCCGTTTGCTGTCCAGAAAGATGATATACTGCGCCATGGGGATGTCGCTGGTAGAAACGGAGCAAGAGAAAGAGAGGCGGAAAGGGAGGGAGGGCTGGAAGGGGGGAGAGGCGTGAGAGGGGAGCGCCTCCCCTCTTGCTGTCCAGAAAGATGATATACTGCGCCATGGGAATGTCGCTGGTAGAAACGGAGTGAGAGGAAGAGAGGGGGAAGGGGGAGATAGAAAGGGAACGGGAACGGGGAAGGGGGAAGGTGGGGGAGAGAGGTAAGAGGGGGGGAGAGAGGGAGGATATGGCAGAAGAGAAAAGAGTCGCATGCGCTGAGTCATGCGAGCGTTGTTTGGGAAAGGATAGCTAAAACAGGTCAGAGACAGCAAGGAGGACATGAATGCAAACATCACTCGCACAGCTGCTACCACCAATGTTTGCACATAATCGGTGCCGCTGATACCGAGGCGACCGGCGAAACAAGAGCCATGGATGGAAGAACGGAAGAATGGACGACCTCAAATGGACTGTACTAACCATTCAATCAGCACATTTTAAGTCGCCTAAAAAAGGAAGAACCGACGACCTTAAACAGCGGGTACTAACCATTCGATCAGGACACCCTTCTGCGCGTTCACCATCCTGCGCGCATCACTGTTTACAGCCACTAAAACCTGGCTAAAAGATTCACGTTACAGCGTCGTCGAGCTATTCATGCTATTGCTACAGGCACTCAGCACAGCCGAGAAATTTTTTCCTGCATGAATCATAATTCCAGGGCGCGGGGCGTTTCATGAAAATATATAATTTTTAAACACACATGTTTCGTGAGTGTTTTTCAAAAATTCGTATTTCGAAAGCGCAGCTGCTTGTAACACATGTTTTGGCATCGTCGAAGCGCGCTAAACGCCCTTCTCCAACTACAAATCGTGGGTTGGAGCTCATTTCCCTCCACCCACGTCTCTCATTTTTCCAACGGCTCATACAACTCTAGTTTCTCAAGCTCACTTCTAGATTTACCATTCAAGCTGGCGAGAACTCGCTCGTTGCCTAGAGGCGTTTCCCCTTCAACTTTATTAGCCGACATCCTTAACCAAAACCGCTCAACTATGGCTGCAACGCCGACACTTAACCGTGTCAACAACAACGTCGCCAACGACCCAATTATTTCCGACAACGACAGTAACGCCCGTGAAACGACGGGCGAGCGTCGCAACAAGCGCCGGGCAGACGGCGAAACATCCGGTCCGACCGCCGTGGACGTGCTACTGGGTGGGCTTGAAGTCAACAAAAACGCCGAGCAGCACCCCCAGCACCCTTCGGCGCCAGTGGCACATGTGGCGCCAGTGGCACCAGTGGCGCCTGTGGCGAACGTGGCAACACACGCCACTGACGCGGAGCACGCGCCAGCGGCACACGCCTCCGACCGGCCGTCGCGTCAGCGCTAGAGGCGTCGTACGGCCGTTTCGTCCGACGCGACGGCTGACCAAGCCTTGACCGAGGCGTTGACCCCGGACCAAGTCAAGGCCCTCCTGTCCCTGTTACAGCAGCACCCCGCTAGCGGGACCGCCGCCGAAACTACACAACCCGCAGCATCTGCATCGGCTAAAAACTGTCAAAATACTAAGCACCTAGGAAACTAGGTTTATGCTTAGGATGCTTAGTTAGGAGTAGGAGCTAGGGTTTAGCCTTAGGCAAAGTAGAAGTCCAAGCAAAAGGAGTGATTCAACTATAGAATGACAAGTACAAATAGAGGAGAAGCATGCAAGAAGTGGTGCACCACCACACATGACAATAATGGGACTACACTACAGCTAGAACTACATGCGCTTATATAGAACATATATCAAATATATTCTGACAAAAACGACATTGCAAAAAAGGAGAAAGGAACAAAAGGACCATCAACGCACCGCCACGACAAGGAGGCGGTGACCAGTGCTCCTGAAGCCGCAGCGGTCAACAACGACTCCGACGACTCAGACGACGACGCCGGTGAGGCTCCGAACAACGCAACAAAGTTTGCCTCCATGGAAAATCTCCCCCCCCCTCCCTTCCCCTAATCCCCACTTTTTCGGTGGCAAACTTTATCGACCCGATTGTGCGAGCGAAAGTGGAGCCCCTGGAGGACGTGAGGGCCTACCTGAAGCACGCGGAGTACAAACTGCAGCGCGGCGATGCGGCGGGCGGACTTGAAATGGTCGCGAGCGCCCTCGACTACATTTCGGAGCGCTACGAAATGCTTCAAGTCGAGGACGCCACCGACGATCGCGTCGCCAAGCGGTTCAAGATGTACCAGCAGAAGAGCCTCCTCACCTCCCGCCCCTTCAAGCAAGCCGTCGCCGACGTGGCAGCAATGGATCGCGCGGAGGGTATGCACGCTCGATCCCACCGCGGCGTAGGACGCGGGCCAATGGCGTTCAACCCCAAGCGTGGCCCGCCTATGGGGAGCTTCCACGGCTTCCGTGGGACGTGCTTTCGCTGTGGCCAGCCGGGGCATGTGGCAAGTGGCTGCCCGCGGAATGGCAATGGTGGCCAAGGACCCGCACCCGTGGTGTAGGGACGGTCCTTGAGCGTTTGCGCCTTAGCGCACGTGGCACGGTGCACGTCAAGTGCGTTGACCGTGGGCAACCCAAAGGGATTTACAATGGCTATTCGCTAAGCCCTAGTTAGGGGTGATGATTAGGCTATAGGCCTAGGAGGCGGGAGAGGGAAGAGAAAGCCCTTTGGTCCCATAAACTGGCCCACGCGGTGCGGGGCGGATGCATGCTAGGAAGCATGGCTAGGTGTGGCCAGTTTCTTATAAGGGCTTTATTTTAAGAAGTACTTTCTGATCTTGGCTTGGATGACCAAAAAAAAAAAAAACCCAGAGAACGACGAAATGGCAAGCACCCACACGATCCCGAGCAAATGGCCCCACCACTCGTCGGCATGGGCTGCCTTGGTCTTGGCCACAGGCCAAAGGGCATATCATGACATAAGGAAAAGCAAGAGCAAATGCAAAGAGGGAACGAGAGAGAGACAGCGAGAGAGAGAGAGAGAGAGAGAGAGAGAGGGAGAGAGAGGGAGAAAGAGAGAGAAAAGGAGAGAGAGCGAGAAGGAGAGAGAAGGAGAGAGCAAGGGAGAGGGAGGGAGTGAGAGGGAGTGAGAGAGAGAATGAGAGAGAGAGAAAGGGGAGAGAGAGAGAGAGAGAGAGAGAGCGAGAGAGAGAGAGAGAGAGAGAGAGAGAGAGAGAGAGAGAGAGAGAGAGATATGAAGGAGGTGAACCGCGTTACGCGGACGCAATGGGTGACAAACGGTGATTATGACTTGTTGATGCGTCTATAGGCACACGTCCATCGCAGGCACATTCCCTTGGGGCACGATGGCTTGCATTCTAACACTTTTCTAGTCCATTGTCACTTGGCAAACATGCAGAGGTAATACGATACGAGGCGCCAGGCAACGGAGATCCATACGAGTTCGCTGTCACTGAAAAATCGGTCATGCAAATGCGCGCGCGGCTTCGCGCAACCCTTGCATGGTGGAGCTCGTGGTGCCCCAGCAGCCTCATCCTCTCTGTCATCGCTAACGGTTACTGGCTGCCATGGAGCCACAACCCACCACAACCGTTTCACAAGCGCAACCATCTCGAGGCGCACACACACGCTGCGTTCACACGCAGTAGTCACTCCAGCAGCGGAACTCACATGTATAAGCCCACTTAACGTGATTGAGCAACGAGAAAAATGCAGGCTAATCCTCGACCTCAAGAAAGTGAACGCGCACCTGATCATCCCGAAATTCAAATACGAAGGCCTAAGCCGTGTGGCCGACCTGGCACGCATGGTAGATTGGATGTTCTCTATCGACCTCAAGTCAGGATACCACCATATTGACATACACAACTCTTGCTGGAAATTCCTTGGCTTCGCATTCGAAGGGCGCACGTACTCCTTCCGTTCATTACCCTTCGGCCTCGCCACAGCGCCATTTGTCTTCACACAGCTCATCAAGCAACTAGCCAGGCGCTGGCGTGAACAAGGCATTCGAGTGATACCCTATGTGGACGATATCCTGTTCTTATGCACGTCCAAGGCTCACGCACAAGCAACATGCCAACAGATAATTTCGGACCTTAAGATGGCGGGCTTGGTGATTAACACGAAAAAATCGCACCTTTTACCATCACAACATCTGCGATTCTTGGGCGTCGAGCTGGACACCAAATCCGGACATTTCTCCATCGGCGCCGATCGACGGGCGTCACTACACGCACATATTCGGAGCCTACGGGGCGCAAGGAAAGCGCGCCGACACGTTCCAGTCCGCCACCTGGCCAGAGTCACCGGCACACTCGCATCGATGGCCGTCGCACTCGGCGCCACGACTCGTGCATTCAGCCACGCCATGCTACAAGCAATAAACGATGCGCCATCCTGGGGAAGCAGCTTGAGCATTTCCCCACCTGTTGCTGAAGAGTTGCAGTTCTGGCTTGAAGAGTTTGACAAATTCAATGGCGCACCATTCCACGTCCGGAACAGTTACGACGCGGTAATTCACGTGGACGCGAGCTCCTATAGTTGGGGTGCCACACTGCTCACCTTCCCTGGTGAACTCGAGGAAGCAAGCGCAGCCATGCCGGAACCACTGCACATAACGTCCAGCACGCGGAGGGAAATTGAAGGCGTCCTTTGGGCCCTTTGAACGTACGCGAACAAGGTTCAGCACAAGCACGTGCTCGTGAGGGTGGACAACCAAGGGGTCTTTTTCATCCTTCGCAAAGGCGGCTCTCGCACCCCTGACCTCACCACCGCTTGCAAGGACATCATCCGCACATGCATGGAGCTCGGCACTCGATTAATTGTCGAATGGATCCCGCGCGAGCTAAACTCCCATGCCGATGAGCTGTCCAAGATGATCGACCATGACGACTACTGTTTGAAACAACCATGGTTCCGCATCCTCAATCGCCACTGGGGACCTCACTCAATAGACCTCTTCGCGAGCCCAAACAACTCGCAGCTGCCACGTTTTTGCTCAAAGATACCACATCCGGGGGCCACTACGATTAACGCATTCTCGATTTCGTGGTTGACCGAGAATGGCTTCGCGTTCCCGCCACCCCAGTTAGTCCCAACAGTCATCCACCACGCACAACGCACCCACGCATCAATCACCCTCGTTGTCCCACACTGGACAGGGGCAACCTGGTGGCCGCTCCTACAACCCTCCCCACCTAGCTGGGCCCCGCACATCCAAGCGCACATTCCCCTGACGCACGGCAGCCAATGTTTAGCAGTAGGAACGCACCGCACCGCTTTCTCAGGCACAGGATTGCCTCATAGTACAATCGTCGCATTACGAGTGGTCTTCAACTAACACATCTCGTCCTCATTCGCGCAGACGTACTGCCAAAACTACAAGGCCAGCTTCTAAAGATGCTCTCGCAGTCTCGCGCCGACTCAACGATCCAAACATACAAGCCATACTGGGTCAAGTTTCGAGCCT